CTAGTTTGTTGAAAGTTTTATCTTTTTTTATAAGTTATGCAGTGCTAGTTTGTTGAAAGTTTTATCTTTTTTTACAGATTCTAGTTGTAGTTGGAGGTCAGGCTCCTAAGGCAATTCGTAGTGTTGAGTGTTATGACTTTAAAGAGGAGAGATGGTACCCTGTATCAGAGTTACCAACTCGTCGATGCCGTGCAGGAGTCTCTGTATTGAATGGTTGTGTCTATGCCGTTGGAGGTTTTAATGGCTCCTTGCGAGTACGAACAGTAGATGTGTATGATCCACTTAGAGATCAGGTACTCACTTAGCTATTTAAAAGCTGGTTCTCAAGCCAGTGAATTGGCCAAATTGTATTATATTATTATTAATATAGATTTATTTTAAACTAACATAAAGATCTAAAACACAATTAAAATTGAGATGAAGTAAAATGACTATGTTTCACAGATGAAGTAAAATGACTATGTTTCACAGATGAAGTAAAATGACTAAGTTTCACAGATGAAGTAAAATGACTAAGTTTTACAGATGAAGTAAAATGACTAAATTTCAGAGATGAAGTAAAATGACTAAGTTTCACAGATGAATAAAATGACTGTAAATTTCACAGATGAAGTAAAATGACTAAGTTTTACAGATGAAGTAAAATGACTAAATTTCAGAGATGAAGTAAAATGACTAAGTTTCACAGATGAATAAAATGACTGTAAATTTCACAGATGAAGTAAAATTACTAAGTTTCACAGATGAAGTAAAATGACTAAATTTCAGAGATGAAGTAAAATGACTAAGTTTCACAGATTAAGTAAAATGACTGTAAATTTCACAGATTTCAAGCCAGTGAATTGGCCAAATTGTATTATAATTATTAATATAGATTTTAAACTAACAGATGAAGTAAAATGACTAAATTTCAGAGATGAAGTAAAATGACTAAGTTTCACAGATGAATAAAATGACTGTAAATTTCACAGATGAAGTAAAATTACTAAGTTTCACAGATGAAGTAAAATGACTAAATTTCAGAGATGAAGTAAAATGACTAAGTTTCACAGATTAAGTAAAATGACTGTAAATTTCACAGATGAAGTAAAATGACTAAGTTTCACAGATGAAGTAAAATGACTAAGTTTCACAGATTAAGTAAAATGACTAAATTTCAGAGATGAAGTAAAATGACTAAATTTCAGAGATGAAGTAAAATGACTAAATTTCAGAGATGAAGTAAAATGACTAAGTTTCACAGATGAATAAAATGACCAAGTTTCACAGATGAAGTAAAATGACCAAGTTTCACAGATGAAGTAAAATAACTAAGTTTCACAGATGAAGTAAAATGACTAAGTTTCACAGATTAAGTAAAATGACTAAGTTTTACAGATGAAGTAAAATGACTAAGTTTCACATTACAAATTAATCGTATAAAATATCAGATTGTTAATCATGATAAATTCTATGCCTTGCTTCTCGGGTCATATCTCTGACAGTAGATACTAATTGTATGATTGTTCTGAATGTCCTCAGCAGACAGGAAATTAATTAATTTTATATATAATTTATTTTAATGTAAATATTATATGTCAAACAGAAAAGTTATGTCACATACTAATAAGTTTGTTGCTTAAGAATGTTTATCATTTTTTATGTTGATAACCTAATAAATAAATGTACCGTGTATACTGTTAAGTAATAATAAGTTCCAGTCAGAATAAGCTATGTACTTAGAGAAAAACTCAACGTGGCTATCAGCATAGCTAATTAAATATATTTTTCTGACATTTCTATTTATAAAGATTAGAATTCATTGTTTCATCAGTAAAATGTACAAATAAATGTATGTAAGATATACGTTGTTTAAAAGCGTGTTATTATAATTTAAATTTAATTTTTCAATAACTAATACATATATTACTTTAAAAAAGAAGGTTTTAGTTTTAATTGTGTTACTTAAAATTGTTTTTTTTTAACCTATAAATTAATAGTTATATGTAATTTGTTACAGAATGAATAAAGCTTTTATCATTTATTATTGAAAGTTCTTATCACATATTGTTAGAAGTTTTGATCATGTTTTGTTAGAAGCTCTTATTAGGTATTGTTAGAAGCTCTTATTAGGTATTGTTAGAAGGTCTTATAATGTATTGTTAGAAGTTATTATTAGGTATTGTTAGAAGTTCTTATTAGGTATTGTTAGAAGTTATTATCAGATATTGTTAGAAGCTCTTATTAGGTATTGTTAGAAGTTCTTATTAGGTATTGTTAGAAGTTATTATTAGGTATTGTTAGAAGTTATTATCAGGTATTGTTAGAAGTTATTATTAGGTATTGTTAGAAGTTATTATCAGGTATTGTTAGAAGTTCTTATAATGTATTGTTAGAAATTATTAGGTATTGTTAGAAGTTATTATTAGGTATTGTTAGAAGTTATTATTAGGTATTGTTAGAAGTTCTTATTAGGTATTGTTAGAAGTTCTTATAATGTATTGTTAGAAGTTCTTATAATGTATTTTTAGAAGCTCTTATTAGGTATTGTTAGAAGCGCTTATCAGGTATTGTTAGAAGCTCTTATTAGGTATTGTTAGAAGTTATTATTAGGTATTGTTAGAAGCTCTTATTAGTTATTGTTAGAAGTTATTATCAGGTATTGTTAGAAGCTCTTATAATGTGTTGTTCAGTTTTTATCACATATTTTTAGAGGACCTTATGATTCATTGTTAGAAATTCTTATCACATATTATTAGTTATCAATTTACTTTTTTGAATTGGAAATAAAAATCATCCAAAAATCTCTGTTCAATTTATTTTATAATACCTGTTCTTATTTGGTTCTCTAATAACCAAGCAAGAATGTTGTTTTTTAAAAACATTCTTTTTTTAGTCCTTTTCCTGTTTTGGATCAAGAAACTAACCTTATATTTGTACTTGTGGCTATTAATAACGTGGCAAGATTCACAAACAGTTAACTTAGAGACTATAAACAACTTGTAAGAACCCCTTATATATAATATATTACTTGATATGTCAACTTCTTCCAGTGGGCTCAAGCACCAAGTATGGAAGCCCGTCGCAGCACGCTTGGAGTGTCAGTCCTGAACAATATGATTTTTGCAGTGGGTGGCTTTGATGGTTCAATTGGGTTAAACAGTGCAGAATGCTATGATTTGAGAACAGGAGAGTGGAGGATGGTAGCACCAATGAGCACCAGGAGAAGTAGTGTTGGAGTTGGTGTCTTAAATGGTATGTACGTTTGTTAGAACAGAAATCTGAACTAGGTTTATGCTCTCAAGTTAGATTTAGATGAAGGACCAGAAACTCCTCACCTTCTGGTGGTTTTTGGGTTACAGGTTTGCTTTATGCAGTGGGTGGTTATGATGGGGCATCTCGACAGTGCCTAAGTTCGGTGGAATGTTACAACCCGGAAACAGATACCTGGTCCTTGGTGGCAGAAATGTCTGCTCGGCGAAGCGGAGCTGGAGTTGGTGTGCTTGATGGACTTCTGTATGCAGTAGGAGGACATGATGGTCCCCTGGTGAGAAAGAGTGTTGAATGTTTCAGTCCAGAAACGAATTGTTGGGTACCTGTTGCTGACATGATGATGTGTAGAAGAAATGCTGGTAAGTGATTAATGGAAAACTGACAAATTTCGACTTATATATTTAATATGGTATCACAATGGAAGAGTGACAAGTTAGGACTTGAACCCTGTATAGCTAATATGGTATCACAGTCAAAACTCTGGTCAGGGTAATGTAATTTTCACCTTGTATGTAGAAGAAATGCAGTAAGCAATTTATTTATTAAGTTAACAAAGTTATTTATTTTTTCAGGGGTAATAGCCATGGACGGCCTCCTGTACGTAGTCGGGGGAGACGATGGTTCTTCTAATCTTGCTTCTGTTGAGTTCTACAACCCGAAGCTAGATTCCTGGTCGATGCTCCCTGCCTTCATGACAATAGGACGCAGCTATGCTGGAGTAGCTATTATTGATAAACCCATGTGACTAGCGCTGTTTTCTAGACTTGTGTTAAAAGATTCATAAAAACCAGTAAACAGTTTTAGCTGGATTATTCAGAAGAATACCGTGTTTTGTGTAGTCGGGTTCTTCAGAGTTCTGTGTGGTGAGTAATGTTTCCCATGAACCACACATTTTACAATCTAGAAAAAAAAAACGGTTGAAAATCTTAATTCAAGCAAGTTTCTTCACTAAAGATAAAAAAATTTCTCTTTTGTTATTTGTTGTATTGCTTTTTAAGTAATCTGAAATTATTTGCTTTCAGATTTTAACTAATTGTTGCAACCGTTAGGGTTATATGAACTGAATACTTTGTATTACTCATTGTTAGTTGTTTGTCGTTGGTGTAAAGTAAATAAGATTGAACAAGAATCACCATCTGAAAAGATAGAAATGTTCTCTGTGATATATGTATGTATCTCCATAAATAACGTTAACAAAAATATTAAAACAACTTGTAACTTCTGTTAGACTGTTTGAATAACAGTTGAGTCAATATACATATATATATGTCTGAGTGTATGTATATACATATTGTTGGGGGCAGCATGACTCGGTGGCTTCATGCTTTGGACTACTATTTGGATGGTTATGAGTTCGAGACTGGCTCCTGTCATGCTTTTGTGTCCTTGATCAGTACATTTTCCACCTATTGTTTCAGTTTACCCAGCTGTATGAAGAATACCAGCTGTTAGCTGGTGGGGTTAACCTTTGATGGTCTGGCACCCCTTCCAGGGGGGAATGTATTATCATTCTCATCTGGTTGTGCCGGTTAAGCCAGAGTTCAGAACCGGAGCCTGTGTGCCGTCTGGGCATGTGAGGGGTTTGACCTTGAATTTCATATATATTGGCATTAAAAACAAATGACTGTTGTTTTTATAAAAGTTAAGTTTTTTAAAAGTGGATCTGAAAACATTGAGAAATTATTTGATTCTGTACCAGTTGAAAGTTAGAATATTGTTTTATCAAGTTTTATTTATCAAATATTTTGCCCCATGAAAATGGTGATGGAACACGGGTGACTAACAACTTAACTTACCAAAGTTAAAATTCACAGTGACAGTACTATCTGCTTCTGGTAGAGTGGATTTCATGAAACACAGAATATTGATTATTTAGTAAAGTACTTAGTTTTTCAGCTATATTACATTATTGTAGTGAAAAACCAAAAATTTTGGGTCGTGCAAAGACAATGACATTTATAGTAGGATATTCTAGATTTCTGGCAAAGTTTATCCTAGTATGATTAAATTATTGTTGCTTTTACAATGAGGAAAAAAAAGGTGTGAGATTCTATCGGAGAAAGAGCGGTGAGGATACTGCTGTTAGTTCAGATTGTTAATCTAAAAGTTTCTTACTTCATAGTAAAGGCCAGAATGTTGTAGCACACCATTCATGTTGTTGAAAAAACAGATGTTACTTTGCAGCTTAAAACATGTAGTAATAACTTTTAGTGATAAAAACTAGTTATTGGATATAGAAATGCAGCCTAATATCTAGGAGGATATAGAAACACAGCCTCAATATCTAGGAGGGTATAGAAACACAGCCTAATATCTAGGAGGGTATAGAAACACAGCCTTAATATCAAGGAGGGTATAGAAACACAGCTTTAATATCTAGGAGCATATAGAAACAAAGCCTAATATCTAGGAGAGTATAGAAACACACCTTTAATATCTAGGAGGGTATAGAAACACAGCCTAATATCTAGGAGGATATAGAAACAAAGCCTAATATTTAGGAAGGTATAGAAACACAGCCTAATATCTAGGAGGGTATAGAAACACAGCCTAATATCTAGGAGGATATAGAAATGTAGCCTACTATCTAGGAGGATATAGAAATGCAGCCTACTATCTAGGAGGGTATAGAAACGCAGCATAATATCTAGGAGGGTATAGAAACGCAGCATAATATCTAGGAGGGTATAGAAACACAGCCTAATATCTAGGAGGATATAGAAACACAGCCTACTATCTAGGAGGGTATAGAAACACAGCCTAATATCTAGGAGGATATAGGAAACAACATAATATCTAGGAGGATATAGAAATGCAGCCTACTATCTAGGAGGGTATAGAAACGCAGCATAATATCTAGGAGGGTATAGAAATGCAGCATGTAGTGGAGGATGTGAGGAAATTTGTTCATCCTTAGAAGTTCATCCAAAAAATTAACTTTTGTGTGTAGCTGGTTTGAGGCTACAGAATACAAGCCTCTGGAGTATAAATATTGTACAATAGAAATAGCCGATTTTACTGTTGACAACAAAAATGTAAATTAATTGTTTGATTTGGGGGGAAAAGCTAGTAATTTAGGGATTCTTTTTTTTGCCATCTTTGCATGTGATGGATATATATACACACACACGTAAATGGACTATTATTTTTATGTGATGGATGTATATATACACACACAAAAATGGACTATTATTTGTATGTGATGGATATATACACACACATAAATGGACTATTATCTGTATGTGATGGATATATATATACATATAAATGGACTATTATTTGTATGTGATGGATATATATATACACACTATAAATGGACTATTATCTGTATGTGATGGATATATACACACACATAAATGGACTATTATCTGTATGTGATGGATATATACACACACATAAATGGACTATTATCTGTGTGTGATGGATATATATACACACATAAATGGACTGTTATCATTATTGATCTTCATCAATCAACTGTAAGTTTTGTAATTTGTTCATGTATACAAATTGTATTACCTTTCACCTCCAATGTATTTTGGAAGTTAAAGAACAACAACGTTGGTTTGCTGTAAGATTTTACTCCAAACTGGCCATCTCCACTAAGAGTACTTAATATACACAGACTTCTTGAAGTGTGTATAGTAATTGTATGTAGAATGTGTTTATGAATTGTATATTATATGCTATTATTGTTTTTTTATAACACTGTTGTACCACTTAGGATCTGAGTGTGGTATAAATATCTTCAGGATACTGGAACGTACCTAACTGTAGCCTTTCTTACGTCAAGATCTCTCCCATGTATTTTTATGTAGAAAGTAAAGTGTGGAGAAATGAGGTGATGAAAATTATATAGGATTTAAAATTTGGAACCTCGTGATTTAAATAAGTATTTTCACAATCAGGCTCCCAAGAGGAACACTGAATATGGTTTCTTATGTAATTTAATTCTTATATATATATGTTTGTGTGTGTGTGTATTTATTAATTGTACAATACTCTCAACAATGCCACATGAAAACACACATGTTAAGTGTGTTACCCCTTTGTCTAGACGTTTTTTAAACAGTTACGTACAGTCTGTGTATGTAGAAAGTTGATTACTCATAAGCACTATGTGTGAGTTATATAACAGACTCTAATCTGAAGTGATAGTTATGGTACAGACTTGATATCATTGAATTGTTTTTGATAAATTGGAATTCCTGCCAAGCTTCAACTTAGTGTAATTGTTTCAGATCTAGTGTAACTGTATTGTCTACAAATACAGTGTTAAAAAAGTGTCTACAGAAACACGAAGGAAGCCTTGTTACCATGATAATAAAACTAGATTGAATTGTATGTGTATGGCAACACTCATAATTACTGAATACAAACACTGATATCACACATTTGTTATGGAAATTCAAGAACACAGAAAGAAAAAAACTTGCAAGATTTATCGACTTAACTTATCAAAACCAATGGGAAATTTATTATAAGTAAATGAAAGGTGATAATAGATGTAAGTTGTGATAAGTTTTTAATTCTAGTGACTACTCAAAATTCAGGTAGATTCTCTACCTTGCTTGGAGACTGACCAGTCTTTTATCTTTCTCTACCTTGCTTGGAGACTGACCAGTCCTTTATCTTTCTCTACCTTGCTTGGATAAAAGACTGGTCAGTCTAAGGTAGAGAAAGGCTTGG